AAGCAACCCCTCCCGACCAAGCTGCTCCTCCTCGCTGCCAGGATTGAGGCCAATCCAGCGAGACTCCTGATCCAACAAGGGCTACTAGCCAGCCAACCACGAACATATGTTTCGAAAAGCAGAATGTTTGTCTAACCGGATTAGGCAACTAAGAGAGTACGTCGACAAGGCTACTTCTGTTTGGAGCTGACAAAGATGAAAATAATTGTGTAGCCCGCAATTCCAATATACAATAGAGCCAACATCACAACTACGCATTAAAGGTGAAAACCACCGAGCATTGGAACCAACGAAATCCCGCAATACCTGCCCAAGTTTATTACTTACTCCCAAGCAAGCAGGACTTCGGTTTAACAGTGAGTCTGCGCACAGCGTCAGGCGCCGAAATAATTTGGGGAAACTGGAATTCAAGATGCCAATGGTTTACTTGCAAGGTACAGCGAAAAACCCCCCTATATTGCAGATGTTTCTGATGAATGTGACTGCGCACTATTTATGGAATGAAGTTACTATCCGACCACATCAATCCAACTTAACAGTCCCCGCGTTCCTGGCGGAGACTGCTTGACCTCTCGCAATAAGGACTTTGTTAATCAGCATCTCATAAACGCTGTCATTACAAGTAGTGCTCGCTCGTGCGCAAGGGCGCTGACTTATCACTTTGCTCAAGTAGTCTTGAAACTGCAAAATGTAGACAGATATAATTGTCCTCCGATGATGGAATACGGGCTGGAGAATCGAGCTTCAAACAGTTTCCTGCTCCGTCATCTCGCGTGTGAATAGTAATTTTGTTAGGGAAGCAGATGTGATCGCTGGGACAAGCATTTCATTCATCTGACGTTTCGAAATCCGTCGAGGATCCATCGTCATTTACTAATGTCTCTGTGGAAGGATCCACGACGGAGTTTGCAACGTCAGGCGAATAAAATTCTAGTCCCAGCGATAACATGTGTTTCTTCTCAATTACTTCCTGGAACTTGCATGTTTGCCGGGTACTTTCCTATGCACTGTGAATTTAAATGCCCTGAATTTATGCTTGGCTCGTGCCAGGGCATCAAAGTGGGGTCAACAGGAAAGGTTGGCAATACCATTTCGTGGAGTTGCTCGCCTCTAATTGGTCCTAAGTAGCGAGACACGATACTTGGCAAAAATCCGGTTCTCCTTGGTGATTTACGAGAAAAAAAATTGTTCAGTGGCTTGCATTTCTTATAAGTTTAGCGATTACGGCATTCGTTCCCCGGAAACCCATGTATGCATTATTATTGAAAACTGTCAGACATTCAGCCAGAGACTTCTTAATATTTACCGATTCAGTTTAATTATATGTGCAATAATTGCAGTCTCAGTCATCTCTTCAAACACTGTGTTTCTCATAATACAGAC